CCCCCCAGCTAGGCCGATTACCTTACACTGTTGGCGAATAAAAACCTAAATCTCCAAATATGTTGCATCAATCATCTCTAAGTTTATAAATTTTGTCTGAAGGCAAATATCGTGATACAGGACTGGCCGTCACACGGCTGCTAAAACGCTATGTTTCTCCGATACCGATCTTGTTTTTGCAGTTCCCAAGCTGTCACGCAGATATGACCTGGCCCTTTAATTTCTGCGAAAAAGACAAAAAAATTAAATCGCTATTCGATATACAAACGTTGTGACAAAGTGGGCCAGTTTCTGGATGAAGACTTACCCTACTCCACCACTCTCCTTTTCCAACAACGGCCGGCAGTAGCGGTCCCGTAAAATAGGGATGTAATCGAGAACAATCGGACTGGTGGCTGCCAGGGTCCTAAAAAATAAATAAAACTTCCAAAAATGCAGTACAGTAGTGTGCACCATCACGCAAACACGAACATATCTTTCTGCGATTGAGTACATAGAGTGTCAACGGCGTCGCCCGATCGCTTCGACCAAACGATGGTTCTAATTTAACAAAATTTTCAGCTTACGTCTTTCCTTGCTCTCAAACTGAAATATCAGCGCTATGACTAAAGAATACTGATGCTATCGGGAAGGAGCAGACGCGTGGACGGAGGGAAATCGAAACGCGTAGAGAATTCCTTTGCAGTGAGGTGAAAAGACAATTTTTTGTCAGAAAAGAAAACGATCAAAAAAATTAATCAGAAAACACAAATATTTTTTTCACGCGAATTAGAATTTTCGCTACAAGCGGCAAAATATATAAAAAGAAGTATCAAATCATCCAAAATACAAAATTATGTTAGAAGTAAGCGAAGAGTTTCAAAAATGCATGCAATTTGCTAAAAAAAAGACAAAATCTAAGGAAATGAGGCATAACGACTGGAAGAGGAGCTGTTTTTATCTGAATGCGCTACCTTCGGGAAATTAATTTAAGACATAGTTTCAAGTCGGAATATTAGGTCAAAAATTCAAAATTTTGACATTTTTGCTGGACGAAAAGCCCTCATTCGCAGCAGCCAGCGCTGAAATTAGCTACACATCTACCATGCTTGAATGTGACTTCATCAGCTGTTAAAAGTTTAACCTGATGTTATTCATGCTGCATAGCACAGCGAAATAAGCCGATAAAACGCCTGGTATGCAGATGTCGCAATTTTTACGCTATTTGAAATTATTCTGAATCCACAGCCAGAAGTCTGAGAGCTATTTCCAGATATGCGTCGCGCACAATTTCTAGGAATGCATTCGTAATAATGCACACAAAGGGATCTCTCGTAATGCGTTTTGCTTTTTGCAAAGGCGCAAAAACTAGACAAATTTTGAGATGCCGCAACGGAACGAAAAAGCAGCGCAAAAATGCACTACGAAAATGAAACAAATTCAAAATGCCCAAAAACAGGATAAAAACCTCAGATAAGTGTGCGTCGTGAGCTGTCGTAACAATCGCTGCCGCTTCATGGCAGTTGAGTTTCTCCCCAGCCAGGAGGGAAAACTTATCATCCCTTTCATGTAGCCATTCATGCTCGTGCATGGTACAACTGCAGAAAACAATGCCTGAAATAAATATTATGTTATCCGTTTTTTGAGAAAATCATAAACCAGCAATAAAATCAACACTCCTCTTTTACTACTGATCTGTAAGAAATACAGAATTGGCCCAAGTGAAAGCACTCTACTCTGCCAATAACAATCACAGCTTCCGATAACCCTGTCCACTTCACCGCCCCCTTTTTTGTTACCATTTCCAACACAACATTACTTACTTCTAACACAATACTGCAAAAAATATAACGGTATGTGGTAAAGACTTACCTGCGTGATAAAGACCTACTCCCCTTGCTAACGGTATGTGGCAAAGACCTACGTGTATGGATACCGCCTTCAGGTTAATTTTAGGAAACTTTGAGTGACTTTTCAGGGTTAGAATGAAGCCAAGCAAAAAACGTAATATCTTTAAAAGGTAAAAGACAAAATGAGTTCTTAAAAAAAAGGAATGAGGCCGCCTTCGCAATCTTAAAACTGACATCCCAAAGCCGTAGTTTCACTCTTGGATAGCAAGTGAGCGCACTTAAGCCAATATCTACACTTTTAGACCGTCGAGTTCGCTCAATTTTGTACCATTCTAGATGATTTTCCCTTAACAGGCTAAACTTGCCACAGTTTTTTGTACTTCTCTCGTTCCATGGATTATTTTCTTGGTTGTACCATAGGAAAAAAAAACCTATTTATGGTCAACATGAGTATGCCCAAAGTGCAATTTTGCCACTTTTTTTTGAAAGGAGAAAAAAACCAGAAGACCTGTTCATTAAGCAGTGACCAGGATCCAGTTGTCCGAATTGTTCGCTCAATTATATCACCCATTGATATACTATCTGCAGCATTCTTTAGCGCAAATAATCGTTTATTGGCGCTGCAATGTAACAAAAAAATATGAAATCGAATTCGTTTCTAAAGTAGGCGCATTTGATCTTGAGCTGGTCAATACGATGATGTCCAATAAGTGGACATGGCCTTTCTGCATTGGTACTCTGAGGGCACCGGCGACGCCACACAGCAGCGCACAGACACAGTGAGAGAAGCGGATGGAAAAGCAATGGTTATTACGATGAGGCGTTGCAGCAAAGAACGCCTGGTGTAATGCAGAAGGGGCTGGCTTGTGTTGTTCCAAAAGGCGAAAAAAAAAGCACCATAATTTGGCAGAACAAAAATATTGGGCTCTGCAGACTAGAAACATCCCATACAATCAGAGGATAGGATTTGGGGCACAGAAAAAGGGCATCTGGGAAGTTTTGGCGCCCATGTAATAAACATGCGCGAAATGGACCACAGTAACTTGATCTGAAATAGCTGTGCTCAGCACCTGGCTGCAATTCACTAATATCAAGGGATTCACATCGACAGGGCGCGGAATCAGAGACGTGATCAAATGCGGTAGTGAAAAAACGAACCTGCAAGCAAGTACTTTTCTGTACAATTTCAAAAGCAGTCGATGGTTTGCAGGCGACGCGGGCTAGACAGGAGGCGACAATAACCCGCCTTCTCTACTACATACATGTACCTGTCTTTTCTTCTAAGATGATTGCCTTTTTCGTAAATAAACGATGCCCACCGGTTATCATTGAAGTGTGCAAATTAACTTTAATTAGTTGACGTAATGACAATCGTGACAGCCAACGAAGCGTCCGCTCGTCCATGCGGATGCGCCGAGGACGAGCTATTCTGTGAACACATTAAGAGGCAGAAGTTTTGCACGAAAAAATGATGCAGAAAAGGTGAACCTCATTTCAGAGTTGTGCACAAATGGATAATTTTCGTGCACAAAAAGTGGCATAATGGAATAGTCAACAAAAAACATCTGCTGCTTCTCCCACACTGGCGTATCCGCCCGTAATAAACGCCGCGTTGCTTCAAATGTATTCTGCAAATGAAAGCTTCCAAAGCAACGGCTACTTAAGGTTGTTAAATTTTACTCGACGTTTCAGTGTCTTCACTGAAAAGCAAACGCATTTTCTCAACATCCTCTTTTACAGCAGAAGATAGCTGTCTTGTTTTCACATGCCGCAAAGGCATTTTTTTAAAAAAAGATTACGATGGAAGTAAGCACATACCCCCTACTTCTCCCACTCCAAATCATCACATCGCAGCAGCGTAAAAAACTGCTGTTTCTGAGAGGCTTAAAATAACCTTTTTCTAAAAAAATAATCGAGTGTAGTGGAAAAAAGGAGGACCATATCCTGTTACTGAAGCTTCCTGCCCTATTATCATATAATCAATTATCTGCTTACGGTATCAACACACAGAAAACAGTGCTCAGGTCACGCCAACTCACATCCAGGTATCAGGGCATGTGTCTATTTCAGCCACACACACACACACACACACACACACACACACACACAAACACACATTTCCAGCGAGTCAATATAATTATCCTATTCTCCTTCATGGCGCGGTATGCAGCGACCATTTCGCGTGCATAGCTGCTTCACCTTTATCACACTAACAGCTGCTGGCCGGACTGGTAACAGTTCATACCATGCAAGCACAGTCAGAAAAATGCGACACAATGTTTTCCCGATGTTAGTATTTGTATCCTGCAACTGTGACTTGACAATGTCTGGTACTCTCTCACAGTGAGGTATCTGGTTAAAAATTTAGAGGTTTGAACTGTTGGGGCATTCAAACAACACGTCTCTTCTTTGTGCCCGAGCGGTCAGTGCTCAGTCCGTTGGTATTTTGTTGCCAAAATAGACCGTTCTGATGGATGCAGGGTACGACCACTTATCATCGTCTTCCACATCGTACTTCATTCCGAATAAATACGATGCTATACGTTGTTTGGCGGTTAACGGGGAACAACTTACAATGGCCGCATTCTTGCGTTGCATTTCGTTTCCCTCTTTGTTACGCGAAGTCAGCAGCTGCAGATTGTAAATGGATTGGCGGACATCGTGCAGAGAGGCTTCAATGATCTCGTCAAGCTTTTCCTTTTCCACTTTGCAACGCTCTTGGCACATTATTGTTAACAGCCGTGCCTGTAATACACAACAAAGAAGCGTCCGTTCATTACTAGTAATGTCAGTTACTAGCCAGAATGCTTGCAGTGCAGTGAATTAATTTCATGCAGGACAATTTAACGTGGTCCCAACTACCCATGGCATTTTAGAATGCTAAAAACCGCCAAAATCATCGATCATTTACAACAACAAACAACGGACGACGACCAGAAACACTGTAAGCATAATTTGGAGACAAGAGACTGGTTCAAAGTTCAGGAAAGTTTGTCAACCCCGTGCCAAATTCTTTTAACAATGCTTTCAACATTGCGTAACAAGTGCCATTCTCAATTCTCTCCTAATTTTCAACTTTTTGCAGCGGCTTGCATCATCTGCTATAAATGCCATTAAGCGCCGGATGACTTAGAGCTTGTCCATCCAAGCAGCACTTGCAGCTTTTCCGACACACTGGATTAATGGCTCCACCTGGCTCTTTATCGCCCAAACTGTCCAGCATGAAGACGAAGTTGTCACTGCAACTGCTATTGAGACCAGCATCAAACTCAAAGAGATGACTGAAGAAATGCCACAACGAAACCTGCTAAGATGGGGCGACCGTAGCGAAGAAAAAAAAAAAGATGGAAAAATGCAAAAAAAATTTAACGCTGAGGTCGGCAGCAAATGCGGAAATTTATCACAGCTTAGATGACATGATCGCAGCATATCAGCCAGCCATCGCCCCAGTTTTCATGGTAATGAAACAAAAGGAAGGTCAATGGGCAACGAAATCAGTAGTACTAATGTAATAAACTACGTGCACGCTTAAATTTCATCCCAAGTTGCATGCTGAAAAATTTCAAAAAATTTTCCGGTCCGATCGCACAGAAATCGACAAGAAAGCAACTTACTCTGATTTGCTCAACACGCGGCCTCTGAAAACGCAGATCGAAACAGTAGTTCACCAGTGAGCGTATTTTCTGTGACTGACGATCGTTGCATATGCAAATTATTGGGATCTTTGTCATCTTAATCATTTTTATCAATTCCGCAATCTATAAAGAAGCCTAATCGAGAAGCGCACCAGAGAAGGCACACAGCTGAACAAGCCATTTTCACCAATTATCAATCTCTTATCCGGTAGAGCGTAAAGCACATGCAGTCAAGATAAATCACCTTCGAGACCAAACTCATGCAAATGTTCAGTACAGAATCTAATAAAAAGAAGTATTTCCATATATGAAATCTCTTCAGTCAGACAAAATGGCAGAATTTTGGGCAGAAAGAGAACAATCCCAGACACGAACAGAACAATCCCGCCCCAAAATGCTGCTACTTCTGCTAGTTGCCTAAGCTAACTGACGCTCCCGGAAGTAGTTTTTAGCCTTTTTCGTGCAATTCAAAAGTGTTTTTCTACTTCTGTACTGTTTCTACTGGAATTTGCACCTGCTCCACTCGTTTAAGTCGGTTTTTACACAAATTTTTCTGCACTGTTCTGACACAGACGACTCTGGCACGTATCCGCTATCATGCATCTTACTGCTCAGTTAGCTGCTAACGCCTTTTCATAATATCCAGACAGTATTTTGTTCAATGTTCGAAACATACCCCAGCTCTATCATTATTTCCACTCATACCATCCACTTCGTCCATGATCAGCACATGCGACACTTCATTTGACTGCGGTGCTGAAAAAAAAGGCATTCCATTTTGTATGCTGCTCACTTTTACACGATTCATTTGAGATACTCTTTTAGGAAACATGACTTTTTTTGGGAATAAGTAAAACAACAGGTTCAGGCAATCCTTTTTGAGAACACTCATGTGGATTGTAAACATAGGATGCTAGAAGAAAAAAGACTAAAATAGCGAGTTTAAAATAAATAAGTTCGGAGCACCCAACGAAACGGTTGACCAAACGAACCAGGCTTGAAGATTTGAGCTCTTTAGCAAAAGGATGCATCAGCATCAAATCCGGAGAGGGAAAAAGACAGACTGCCACCCTTTTAAATGCTAAAGAGATCAGCACTGAAGGAAAATTTGAAGTGTAATTCACAGAATGCAAAAATTCACAACAGTTAGAAAATTAATAGCAAGACCGCAAAATTTTGAAGACGCAAAAATCGGCCAAAACAACAAAAATACCAGCTGAGCACTAACATAAATTAAAAAAAAACAAAGAGTCAAAAAATGTTGTAGTTGAAAAACGCCAAACACAAGGGATCTGTTGCCTGCTGAATGCTGGGAGCACCACTGATACACATAAGCAATATAGAAAAACTAACGTTTTTGAGCAGTAGGCCCAGTCATAAAGTCATCCATTTGCTGGCATCCAATCAGGCCCGATGTCTGTGCTTCTAACATTTTCTTATTCCTTACATCGGACGCATTTTTCTCGACGTACTGCAGCCCGAGTTCTTTGCATGCCATAACGGCGCACGTCGTCTTCCCAACACCTCAAAATGAGATGCAACCATGCACAGCTGGAACCACTCCTTAAGCGAAGTGGAACTACTTCCTCTTTATGAGCCATACTAACAAAAGCCAACACGACGTTTTGTCCCGGTTGAAGAGCTTTGAATTGTAATTCAGCTAAAGCTTATCTGATTTTTCAGTTCGTGGCACAGAACAGAGTCCTATACCTCCCACGTATTTTGGCATAAACTTTAGCAAAATTTAGAAAAATGCCTGTTACTATCTCCTTCTCTCTTTCTCCGTTCCACTCCCTCTTCTCCTTCTCATCTCTAAACACTGCGACCGTCATACTAACGAGGTTCAGTCGCGGTGTTGAGCTAAGACGTATATGACTTCATGGACCGAAACGTCTTAACTTTTTCGTACTTATTTCTCCTGCGCCAGCAAAATTCCTACATAGTTCGTTCTATTCCTGCCTTCTTTTCTAAGTTCTTCATATTACTTCCATGCTATGATCATGCGATAATTAGATTAGACCAGTGATCTCAACATGCATCTTCTTCCATACTAGGAAGAACAGCAACGTCCAATGCCAAAATTTTCAGTTCAAATCAGAGGCGCCCATGCAGACTCCTCCGTTATGCGTTTTTGATCCAAAAGTCACTAAGCTACAAGAGCTACTCTGAGAAATCAGATCGGTGTGTGTTAACTTTTTTACCAGCTTCTTTTCACTGTGTTCGTTTTTAATGCGTTTTTGCACATCCATGCAAATGTAAAAACGCATATTTACAAGAGGTTATCGAAAATGCGATTCCAAGGCGAAAAATGAACAATCTGACAGTCCTGTCAGCAACAAATGAGTGCTGTAGTTAAAAGGAATATCATTTTCTGAACTGCAAATCAAAGTCGTTAGATATTTCCGGAATAAAAATGACAGAAAGACTTCCCCGGAACTTAAATTCCAATTTATATAAGGATTTAAACATGAAAACTATGTTTCTGCGTTTGAATCCTCGTGTAAAGTAGAAAATAATGCAGGGAAATTTATTAGAAGCTCAAAGCGCAAGCTAGGGAACTGCCGGCGATACCAAGCAGTGCTGTTTGGCACAAATTTGCAAGACAGCCTCTCCGCCAACACTTATTTGGTTAACTCCTCGGTGTTCTAATCCGCCAGCATTTGTATGCTTTGTGCTCAGCTTTTTCACACTGTTAAAGCGTGTAGGCCAGTGGACTTTAGCGAAACAAAAACTTACCAGGAGGGCCACTGAGCAATGCTGCTCGGAAAGCCGTGCTGTCGTTTTGCGCCATCCAAGGTGGAGGCCGTGCTAAATTTTATTAAAATAACAACTGCACATTTTACATACAAAATTTAAATTCAGTACTTCCCAGAAACGCATCATGCCGGACGGATTACAGTGTTGTTTGATCAGCTCCAAAATTTCAATAACTAATGCCCGCGAGACAAACTGTTACCATTCAGATGGACATCAAATCGCATTTTTAATGTCCTTGGCGAGTATGACGCTGTGCAAACGGAGTAAGGCGGAACATGATGCATGACACCTCTGAGGTAATCCTGACGGCAATCAGACAAAAACAACCAGTAAATTGCTTTCTTACCTTTCTTTTTCTTGCCACCTTCGTTCAAATGATTTTTTGCCCAGTCTCTAAGCCAAGCAAGCAATTTGTTCATGGGAGACTTTTCACCGCTTTGTCCCACCAAGTGCTGTAAATTCTTCGGTTTGTATTTGTCGACCCATGGCAAACTAGTATCCTGAAATCGCTGTTATCAATATTAGTAAGCACACCAGCTTCGAAAAACTCTCGTTATACGGTCCAGTCGATATTCGGTTGGAAGAAGGATACCTAGCAACCGGAAAGAGGCGAATATTATTTTGCTGCGCAAAAAGGGGAATTAAAGAAAATATGAATTGCCGAGCAGTCTGCTTATGCACTCATATTTGCAATCCCTTCACAAGCACTGTTAATTGATAAATAAGACAACTCGACCAGTAGCAGCCGAGGAAGCAAGCTGGATTCCGAAATAATTAGAACACAGTCATTTTAGCCTTGAACCAGCTGTTGCGGAAGTGAATACCATCTCCGTCTCCTCCTCTCTATTATCTGTCTCTTACAAAACAACATTCGACAGTACAGAGTTGAATGCTGTCATGTGAGCATTTGCTTATGCAGGAATTGATGGGGACTATAAGAAAATTGTTAAGAGTGCAGATGTACCTCTTCGACAAAGATCACATTTCTTTTTCCGTTTCAATTCGCGTACCGATTGGAAGGGTTGTAAGGCAAGACGATTCAATATCGCCTAAAATAATTTTCGCAGCTTCCTCAAAATGGTATTTTGGAAAGCTGGATTGGGGAGGTACTCTCGAAACTGATGGCGAACAGCAAAACCACCCACACCTCGCGTGTGACATGGTTTTTAATGCGAGCAGTTCTCGCAAAAAAAAAAAAAAAATGCGATGTTGTTACAGCTTAGAGTAACTCAGAATAACGCATTGAAAACCAAAATGATGCAAAGTGCGGTATACCGGCGGCTAGGGTGAAGAGCGCCGTGCCGATCTGGACGAAGTTGACAACTACGTCTGTCATGGCCAGGAAATATGTACCACACTTTCCTGTCGGCCATTTGGCAGGAATTTTACATCGATGACATCCACAGACTGCCGCGCGACCACGCAAGACAGTAAAGTCAGGTGAAGAACATGTTTCTCAGTCTGCCGAAAACTCAGCAGATTGTCCTTTCGGTGCATTTTGAATTCTCACTTGGCCCCTGTCACAATCTACCCGCCACTCATCTGATGAAGAAGCTCTGATCGCTTACGGGGTAATGAAGATTCTCCAAACATTCTTCGCACCATCGTCTGCCGCACTTTACAAACACATCTTCTCCGCTTCCTTCCACTCATACGCACCGTGCTCTGTGTCATAGCTTTTAGCACGGCGGAATCAGACTGACTAAACTGGCAAAAGGAAAAAGAGAAAAACCACCTTTTGAGCAGCGATATCACTTTCGCCCAAGTTCTCATTACGTTTTTCGTTTACTGCACTGGATTTCTTTGCATCCGGCGATTTCTTTTGCTTTGTAGCACTCGCTATCATTCCTTTCTTTTGTTCAGCAGTATCTTTCTTTTGCGCTTTGCCGGCAGTTTCCCGTTCTTGTTTTTCAACTTTCTTTTTCTTGGACTCCACTTCCGTGACCACAGAACCTTTATCACTGAAATGTCCAACTTTTCGTGGTGACTTCCTCGTAGGTGAAGAAATTTTTGACTGTAAATCACTCAGCACGGATGAACTTTCCACATTTTCATCACTCAGGACCAATACGTCGACTTCATCAGCACGCCTACGACTTGATTTTCTAGGCGAAGGCCCCGGAGAAAACCCTTGGACTTCGCCAGATTTCTTCGACGATTTTGTTTTCGACCCAATTTTATCAACTTTTTTTGGAGATCCTTGCTGCAACTCAGTTTCAGCAGATTCTTCCGGCGCTTTTGTTTTTTGCTGTTGGCTTCCACCCTGTCCCTCAGCTTTCTTTTTAGCTTTGACTTCGCCTGTTGCCTTGTCGAAATTTTGAAAGAACTGAAGTGGTGTGACTGCTCCTAATTCTGGCGCAATTTTTGCTGACCGTCCTGGAAAAACATGAAATTATATATTTTCATTTTACAGAGCAAATGCAACGAATCCTTACCATTCGCGTTGAGAGAAGTCCAAAGTTGAGGTATGCCTTCACTAATCAAAGACGATGCCACACAAGAAAAAAAAAAATCGGCTAAAAATGGCACTGACAGTCTCACCTGTACTCTATTTCGGATCTTTTTAAACAAAGATGAGCGTTGGATGGGCCTCAAAGCCAAAACTGTCTTATGCAATCATGAAATGAAAGCAAATTCCAATTATTCGAAACTGAAAACTTAAAAGGAAAAAAAGACCTGGGATCAGCTGGGAAAAAAGATCAGCTCATATTTAACTTCTGAAGTTGTACCAGGGTCAACGACTTGCCCGTAATGGAGAATTAGAAATGGCACTGATGACATTAGATATTCTGCCAAGGCTATCGATGTGGAGTACTCGATGTTACTGAGATGCAGACACAATCAGGAAGCATCATCCTTCTTTCAAAATACACACAAGTATAAAAACGAAAAAAAAAAACCAACTTTTTGGCTGTAATTTTTGTTTTGTCCCAATGTTAGTCACATCCAATTTTGTCTGGCCGGGAGGAGTCCGTCCACGTTTCTTTTTTGTCGGAGGTGCAGAAGCAAGCTCCTCCTTGTCACTTTCCTCGATCTCTGTCTAAACAACCTATTTTACATTGGTTTACATTTTGTTTTTTATTATTTTACTTAAGCATTCCCCTATTCGTTATCGCTTACTGCACACAGCCAAAGTTTCGTGGCAATTAACTCAAGCTGAAATTGCGATGGCGAGTTTCGATCGTCAAATGAAGTCTGCAGCGGCTGAAATGGACTCATTCAGAGCTTTAGCGCTTAAATTTATCTCCCCTTTTTCGTTTTTCCCGAGTCGCTTTTTTCGTTTCTTAATGTAACCACGGTACTGTGAGCTTTCACTTCTTTCTCCGGTACGAAACACAACAGAGCTATCGACAGTAAACTAATCTTTCAACGATTCACTACAAAAGAAATGAAGTCAAAAGCGCGCTTGCAAACAACTTCCCGTAACTAAGAGCCATAAAACAGGGTATTTGCTTTTGCTCAAGCCAATCCCAGGTGCTTTCGTATCTGATAAAAATGCAACATACAACCGGGCTTTAACTTTTGGCAACACATAAAACTGGAAAATAAACTGAGCCAGTTATACATAGACTTAAAACTGGAAAAAAAACTTGCATCGCTACCAGACGTGGGTAACCGTTTTGCCGCACACCTTCTCTGTTCTGTTTCCAGCTTCTTTGGTGACAGCTTTTCGCCTCTTTTTTGCGGACGGGATTGTGATGCTGATGGTGGCAGTTCATCATCATCGTCTACAAAGTAATAAAATATTTTAATGTTGAAGAGAGGAAACTGATAAAATTTTAAATGTATTGAAAATTATTTTTAATGGCACGAAATGTTTCGGTCCATTAAGAGTCGTATACATTTCTTACCACTACCACAATTGGACCTCGTCAGTATACTCGGATAATAACCAAAACAATGAAGTATACAAATATGTGTGTAAATGTGGAGATATCTTGAAATTTTTATAAAACTTGTCACTAGCACAGTCGCAAATCATAATTAATTTTTAAGTCTAGAAATTCAAGTGCAGACCAGGGTTTGTCTCACAACTAAGTCCACGAACGAAGGTGAGATAAATTAGAAATTTCAAGTCCATACGTGAATAACATGAGTCAGTTTCTACATTCTAGTGTATGAATTACTTATGAGCTAACGATATGATATTGAAATCAGATTTTTGGCACATAATAAATGCACATCCTTCACGGATACCGGCTGACAGCAATGCACACCTACTTCTGCGACTATGCGTGATTTTTTGCCTAAATTTCAAGAATAGTTAAAGAATATCAAACCGCGAAAAAAAAACGCATGTTAAATTTTCTAATGCGTTTATTCACGGTACACTCATAACTGAAACACAGATGCTCAGTTTTGAAGCTGTACAGTTATCTATTACTGAGGAATTAAGTAAGTTCATTCCGAGTCTTTACATGCATGAAAACTGTTGGTGCTCTACGTGAATACTGGTAACTTCAAGTGTCTCGGACGCTAAAATGCTTCAATTTAGTACTACAGCTATAAAATGAAGACCACAATCCTCGAAACCTGAAAATGCCCATATTTGAAGAAATGTGCCCAAGAAATTAACGGAAAGGTAATCAAGGACACATACTGAGGACCCCCTGTCCTTGAAACACAGTACAACAAACTGTGGCACCTACTTCAACAACGAAACAGTGAATGTATGACGTAAACCCGTACCGGATGAAAGGATAATTCGCTTCTTCGATCTTTTCCTCTGCAAATTGCGGCGCAGCGAACGAGGCATCGGATTCTCATCATCAGCTAAATTGGAAAAATAACACCAATTGGAAAAACTGAATCGCGGAAGCCCGCTGTGGAAATCGTTATATTTGAAAAGACGCAAATTTTAATATATTCACAGGCCAGTACTCCAGGATTTAGTGAGGTTCTGCACTGTGCCACATTTGCACAACACCACACATAGTTTCGTTTTCTCCTTCCATAGCCCCATAGAAAAAATCGAAAAACTATCACATACAATTACAATTGTCACATTAATCCACTAATCAGAGCATAATGCTTGGCTGGATCGAGCTGAATTTTAGTAGTTGCTTTCATTTTCGCAAAAACACAACTTTTTACTCAGTTCGGTTCCCGATCTGGCATGGCATCAGGATGTCTCAATTTAAATTTTGACACATCTGTAGGTGTAACGCACGTGAGTGATAGCTGATTTTGAAATTTTTTACATGAACATCGGACATCCTCATGACATTCCAGCTTGTCATCTTAGCCCGTTTCCAAAATAAATCGTTTCCCTGCTAAAACTTTTACTATTTTTCTAGCAATCGTCCATACATCGTCAGACTTAGGTGTATGCGAAATCTGATTTTAAACCCCTAAATCGAACATGGTCCCAGGACATCCTCGCACAACTTTTCAGTTTCGCTGACTGCTTAGTTGAAAATAGCTAGCAAATTCCGTACACATACACATACACACACGCACATACACACACATAGATATACGCGCACGCACATACACATACACACACACACGCACATACAAATACAAGCACATAACCCCTCTACAATGTCCGTTTTTGCTTTCAGAAAAGATGCAAAAGCATAAAATGCATTAAAAGTTATATTTATGGAAACAAAAACATAATTTTCCCAGAATAATTCACGAACAAAAAGACCATCAAGACCGCCTGCACGGCATCCAGGATGTTGCTGAGACAGAATCACATGCTGGCACAACCGTGGCAGGCTTGCGGTGAAAAATATCTGAACACAACTTACAAGTATCCGATAAAAATATTTCGGTTGGTGCTGGTTTTTGATTTTTACGTGATTTTTGGGTTGTCTGAGTTGGAGCCGGCTTCCGCTTTGGACTGCCTCCACTGGTACGCACATCTGTTAACGCGCTTTTTCCAGCATTGCCGCCAAAATATCTTCGAATATCCTGCAACTTTTCGCTTTAGTACCACAAAAATTCGTTTTACAACAACAGCCAAGAAGTCGCCGGCACAGTCAGCAATGGTCCTGCATGCAGCAAAACTGCATAAACCGATATTTTTTTTCCAATTCTCTTAAACTCGTTCAAGTGCAGTGATAACTTCAGTAAAAACTACCTTTAACAGTGCTGCAAAACCGGCCAAAAACGCGACTCCTCCGGCCCCTTACAGTTATAGAGATAACTGAAAAAGGAAGTGAACGCTGACTTAAAAAAAACCCCTTGTGCTTTTTCACCGAAAAATTCACTTTCCCTGCTCATCTTGGCCAGCTCCCTATCCCCCGCTTCTACGTCTCATTGTCCTTTGTCCTATTTTTGTTTTTTTTTTTTTTAAATTATTCCACTATTACTTCAGGACAAAAATGAAATAAGATTATTCGTTCGAATTTAATACTTTTAACGCAAAATTTATGTCCACATGCTGGATCAGTAACGTAGCAAAGCGAACGAAAAAAAAAAAAGTTTCAGCTTTCCCCCGCGGTAACGCAATTATCGGTCGGAACTTCATTGAAGCTCAAAGGTCTGTTCCACGAATTACACATATTGCAGGTCACCTGACCGCATTCGGCGGCACACATCGGCACTGCACCTCTGGCATGCCTCCCGAAGCCAGCTCACAGCCTTCAAGCAGGTAATTCCCGTGACTCTGAGCACAAATTACAGAGCTTCCGGGGACGCCTGGGACTCCGCGCGCATATACGAGGTCAGCCAGTATTCTCACCCCTCCCCCCTTCGCTACAGCTCTGGCTGATAGCTGCACTCGCATCAACGAGATAATAAATCTGT